TAATAATAATAATAATAGTTGCAACGATAATAAAAGTAGTAATATGGGTAATAATATTGATAATAGTAAGAATAATAAGGATAATAATAATAAACGTAGTAATATGCTTTATAATATTGATAATAATATTGATAATAATATAAATAATAAGGTTAATGATGATAAAAGTAGTAATATGCGAATAATATTGATAAAAATAGGAGTAGTAAGGATAATTACAGTTCCAGCGACGATAGTAGTCGTAATATGCGTAATAATAATGATAATAACAAGAATAATAAGGTTAATGATGATAAAAGTAGTAATATGCGTAATAATAGTGATGATAATAAGAATAATAAGGATAATGATGATAAAAGTAGTAATGTGCGTAATAATATTGATAAAAATGGGAGTAGTAAGGATAATTACAGTTCCAGCGACGATAGTAGTCGTAATATGCGTAATAATAATGATAATAACAAGAATAATAAGGTTAATGATGATAAAAGTAGTGATATGCGTAATAATTTTGATAAAAATAAGAGTAGTAAGGATAATTACAGTTGAAGCGATGATAATAGTCGTAATGTCGGTAATAATATTGATAATAATTAGAATAATAAGCATAATAATAATAGTTGTAACGATAATAAAAGTAGTAATATGGGTAGTGATATCGGTTCAATTGATGATAATACGAATAGTAAGGATAATAATTATAGTTCCACGATAATAGTAATAGTAACATGGGGAATGATATATTTTAGGTCTCCAGACCTAATATATAGTATATATAGTATATATATATATATATATAGTATACTAGTATATATAGTATAGTATAGTATATATACTATATAAAGTATATACTATATATATATATATATATAGTATATATATAGTATAGTATATATACTATACTATATATAATAATATATATAATATATATAATATATACTATACTATATATACTATATAGTATATATATATATATAGTTGTATAGTTTTATACAGTCATATATATAACTCACCTAACCCAGCCTAATGTAATCTAACCCAACCTATACATTCATAGTTTACAGTGCAATTATTAGAATTTTTGAAAAATTATGTAGGATCATTAAGGTGCCCTCATCAGTCGCCACTGCGTGTACCGGCTAGGTACGGCATTGGAAGCAAGCTGTGACGTCAGCTGACGCATGCGCGTAAAGCTCGCGCGCGCGATAAAATCTCATGACTGCCCAACACTGCCATCTAGTGATCAAATTCAGAAACAACAATTTACTTTTCTTTTCAAGATTAGAATTTTTGGAACGAATAGAATATTTTACAACCTTAATTAAATTGAAATACCATCATAATTCGTAAAAAGCACCAGATGGAAAATTGCAGAAATTAGTGAGTCTCAAAACGCTGAGACCATTACTCTCAGAACGATGTTACGCTATATAGCGTCGATAAAGTATCGACTGCGGGTTACTAACAAACCGATCGAGTAATATCGAAAACATCTTACATACGCATCAACAAGTGAATTTAAATAAATTCATAATTTCGCGCCACTCTACGAGAAGGAACAAATATTTGTTACTTAATTGAAGTTAGTTGCACTCTCATGTTCGAACTTACAATTACGTTACTCTAAGTAGTATATCAACTATTCTATAAAGCAACCTTCATAGATAAGGTATATACAATTGATTGATCATTTTGTGTATGTATCCATAGCAACTAAAGCAATTGAACTCTGACAAAAAGGAGATTCTTCGACACGGTATTTTCTTTTGGTATCATGGATACAAATGATTCAGATGATCGTGTTGCAAAAAGTGAGAAAAAATCATTACTCGAAAAATATGATATACCGGTAGAGCATCTTTCTTACGAATACATTTCCGAATGCAAAGATGTAAAGAAATTGGAGCGGATAGTAACTATACTTCGGTAAGTATCAATTCGGCGGGGTTTTCAACCTTACTCAATTTCGTTTAATATGACGATTCATTTTACAGTATAATAATATATAATAAATACATAATGTATAAATACCAAATAATAAGACTAAATAATAAATATGGTGAATATAGTATGTATTTAATTTTTACTTTTAAATGAATTGTTAATTTCAGTTCCGGTCAAGAGGGATATTATCCGGATTTAACGAAATGCGCGGAGGAACGTTTAACTCTTCTCAACCCAACAAGTATAATATTAAGAAAATCCGAGCCTATTCTCAGACGAAACATGTTAGATCCCAGTAAATGTACAGAAATCGACAAAGACATCAGTGCCTGGATGTCTGAAATGCAATCTCGGGAAAAAGATTTGGAGGAAGGAAAAGCTACCTTGATGGATCCTCTTCCTCAACCAGAAATCAGACAATTTAAAGAAGTATATCAATCAGCATGACAAATAAAATATTTAAAATATTTTTATTTTAAATCAACATGACAAATACAAATACTATCTTTTTTTATTTTTTCAGCCTGATCAGAAATCTGTAGCAATAAATTCAAAGAATACTAACAAAAGTAAACGAATTTCTTCATGCGACTATGATGCCTGGGATAAGTACGATGTCGATACCGAATTAAATAAAATAGATATACGGGACGATCAGCAACGAATCGACGCTAAGAGATTTCAGCGGAAACAGAACGAAATAGCTGAGAAAAAAAGACTCGAAAAAAATACACTCATTGACAAAAGTATAAAATTTTTTAATTACAACTAGAATATTTTTTTATAAAATCCGATGTAGTAAAATAGAGTAAGGAGAATAATCATCATAAGTAGAGAATAAAATTTTAAATTTATAATTTTATTAGCATCATTGACCGGTACTGAATTGAACGTGATGGCAGAGCAAGAGAAAGAAAAAGGAAACGAAGCGTTTAGAGCTGGCGATTACGAAGAAGCTCTGGAGCATTATAACTCGAGTATAAAAATGAATTCGAATATAACTGCGTACAATAATCGTGCAATGACGTGTAAGAAAGTTCATCGTTTAATCCAGGGATTCCTTTATAGGCCGAGCTCCGCTCGCGAATAGTACATTATTTTTTACGTTCCGAAGTTCCAATTAAGGACTTAAAGATTTCTAAAGTTCCAAGATTCTGTTGGTCAAAGATCCCAACTTCAAAATTGTCAAGATTTCTAAAGTTCCTTTTCCACACTTTGGGAATCTCTGGTTTAATTAATTTCACCAAACGATTGTATCTATCTATTTACAATATATATTTCTTTAGATATTAAACTGCAACGTTACAAAGATGCGCTCAACGACTGCAACGTAGTACTCGGCATAGAACATAACAACGTCAAAGCTATACTTCGTCGTGCAGTGTCTTTGGAACATCTCGAAAAATCGTCACAGGTATACAAACAATACATCGTTAAATATTGTATAGTTATTAAAGATAATGTTTAGGCGTTAGTAGATTACGAGGCTGTTTTGAAATTGGAACCCACCAATGCAATGGCGATAGCTGGAGTGAAGAAGTTAAGAAAACCTTGTGAATCTAGAAAAGTAAGGTATGGTAAAAAGAATATATTTTCTAGCTGGAACTGTATGTTTATGCTTGATACTTGCAGAATAGCAATAGAGGAAGAAACGGATGACAGGGATGAAAAATTGAAATCTTGTAAAAGCGAGCAGTTGAAAGAAAGAATGAATTTAGAGAAGAACATATGTTTCTGCGATAGAGCGCCAGGTCCTTCTCAAAATTTAGTACCCAGACCGCACATAAAAGCGGACTACTGTCTCGAAAACGAAAAGAAGATCAAAAATAATGTTCCGAAAAAATCTGAAACTGACTATAGTAATAACATAGCGAGACCAATTAAAACTCTGGATTCGAATAATCGTTCTAATATACAGATAAAGAACGATTCGTATCAAACAACAAAGCCGAGATCAATTTTTTCTTGCACGACGCCTTCTAAACGTGCTAATTCAGTTCTTATCAAAGAAATACCTAAAGAATCTAGCGATAGTAATTCCAGTAACGTAAAAAGTAATTCAAACCAGATAAATAAGCCTAAAATGATCAAGGATAATAACAAACGCGATAAAAAGAAGATAAGCGAATCAAATATTAGAGATCTAAACAAAGATTTTGAGGAAAATTTTAATATGAATAGAAAACATCACACGAAATGGTCGCCGGGAAAAATAAAAGTAGCCGATAAGTATACGAATAAAACTAGTAAAGAGGAGAAATGCGTTCCAAAGGTTTGTTCTTATTAATTCTATAAAAGAATTCTTACTTAATACGAATTCTTTTCAGACTTTTAATAACATCGAAAATGCTTACGACTTTATGCGCGCATGGAAATCACTAAAAAATGATACCGACTTAAAAGTACATGCTCAGTTACTGCGTTCATTGAATGTCGATAAATTAAGTTCAGGTATATATTTTAAAGAAACTTGAAATTTCTAAGTTCGTAAATTTTGTAACACAAGATTTTACAGTTTTAGGAAATGAACTGGACGGTGATACGTTTAGCACAATTTTGCATTGTTTAGAACAACATTTTTGCTCAACCAACGACACTGAGATACTTAACAAGTTTTTAAAATCATTCAGTCAAGTAAAACGTTTTTCCATTATAAATATGTTTATGAACGCCGAAGACAAACAAGGTATATATTGAATGTTTTAAATTGTACGTTCAAAAGTAGACTGGGTAACGATTACTTTTATTTTACAGCGGTAAAAAATATACTGAACTTCTTGGAAGAGCATGGAACATCAGAGATTTCGTCTTTACGACAAATTTATTGCATCTGAGAATAGTATACATGTTCTTGAATTTTGTAACAACAAGTATCAATTTTATTCACACCTGTAATGCTAAGAAAATGCCCTATAAGTTAATGATTTAATTTGATATATAACAATAAGCAATATACACGTATTCCATTTATTTGAAGAAAAATGTTATTTGATTGAGTAAACATTCAGAATGTGCTTGTTTCCCAATTAAACTAGATTTATTTGGTGACATTCGATAATCTCACTAGATGATGAGATATTCATTCTACATATTTTATGATCTATGGTACTCCGCATGCGCTCTGATAATTGTATGATCGTGATATGGGGAACGTATACCTATCAGATACTTTTATGATTTTTTATTCTTGCTGATTGCAGCACATCCTGTTAATTAGTCCGAGTATCTATTTCCCATACATTTTCCGAATATCTGGCAAAAATTTACTTCATTTTATACACTTGCAACCTTACTGTCACTCCCTGCTCGTCCATTTTTCTCTACCATGTATACGACCATGATAGCAGAAATAAGATGTAGATGGGCATCATTAATGTAGAAATTACCATAGGGTTTATTTCTATCGATAATATTATCGATAATATCGAAATGCAATTACTGTTTATTATTCAAACCTAATTATTTTTGTTTGGAAAAGAATTGAATCATATTTTATAATCTAGGAAAGAATGAATGAATTCAAGTTCTAAAAGTGTTCATTAGATACACCTTGGTAATTCTAACGAAATTTGTAATGATATCGATCTGTGATCTATCGATATATCGATAAATATTGACCATCTGATTGGGCAATTTTAATTGTTAATTATTCGATCAATAATGATTTGAATCGAAAGTGAGAACGAAATCCTCAGCCTTTTTATCTTCTCACTGCTCAAAATATGAACGAAATGTTACTGAACACCCTATATATTCCTAGCTCTATGTTTTCGATCCTCGTAGAAGGGTGGCAGCACGTATTTCCATCGAACCGAGTGCGCGCTCTGGTTCTGCTCCGACATCCGGACTCCGTGACTCTAGCGCTTCGTCAGTTGCGTACTCTTCCGTTCAAGCAGCTTGTGACATTTTTTTCTGTTACTACAAGATGTTTACTTGGATGAGCCGTGCGAATTTCGACGAGGATCCCGATAATTCCGCGTGCAAAGCCACCATGAAACTGCTAAGGAGACAACAGTAACTGAAAGGTACGTGATCCGGCGTGGTTACGGTCGGCCCGGGTATGTTTATAGCCTGCAAACTCTGACATAGCAATGGCGTACTGTCGCCGTAAAGGCCGTGCCAACAAAATTCATCTCTGCCTTATTTAGCTGTTAAGTTAACCGTGCAGCCAGCAATTCGGCCGGTCAACGATGTTTCGTATGTGGTGATATGGCTGATAGTGACAAGAACAATTTGTGATTCTCGGTGATGAAAAAAGTGGTATCCGTCGGTGATTATAGTGCCTCGGTTTTCCCCACTGTGGAATGACCGCCGATTGCCGAGCGGCACGCCATCCCGCTGTAGCTGACTGAGGTCTTTGCTGTAAAGAGATTAAATGCTATGTGAATTCGGACATCGACACGATTTTAATGTTTTTCATTAACAGCAAAACGCGCTTTTCAGCGAAACTTATCATTTTTTTTCAATGAAAAGTAATGTTACCATGGAAATTTATTATACGGCTGTGGGAATAAGCATTTGACACGTAAGGAAACGATTGATATGTTTTGTGAACGATTTATATCTGGATTATCGATGATAATTCCCGTAGAATTACAAGTTTTCATTTATAATTGATTTTAGTTATATCTTGGTGAATGAGAAACACTCATATCTTTGCATAATGCTTCAGACTTTAGTGAATTAAAGTGATCATGATAAGGAGATATTATTATAAAATACTAGGATTTCTTTATTGAAAACTGTGTATTTACTCTATCTGCTCTGATAAAAATTGCTTCAAGTACTTGTGGGGACTAAAATTAATGTTGTGTATATTTAGAATTTTTAAAAGAGTCATTTGTTATGTTTATAAAGACACATTAATTTAGAAAGAATCATATTCATTTTTAGGAACAAGAAAAATCTCTCAGAGATCTCTGTTTAGCTAATAAGGCGGCTCAGGCAGCATCCTAGTGTTCTTTTTTGATGAAATTCCATAAACAAATAGATTTGTTATGATCTTCACTTTGTTATTTTTAAAATTAAGAAATTGTAGAGTGTATCAAAATGCATCTTATTTACTCATGTTTCAAAGACAAACAATACAAGAAGGCTGAATATTGGCATATGTATCAAGGACATATGTACTCACTTGAAAAGATTAAAGAGCCAATATACAGATAATTTTATTAATATTCTAAATTTGATATAAATAGAACTATTTCTAATTGGTACACAGGACTACATAGTAACACAGGTCTAGTAGAGGTGCCATGGATGATGAAGAGCGTCTTGAGGGTGAGGAAGAAATGGACTTAGATGAAGCCTCCGATGGTGAAGATGAAGATGAAGAAACAACGGGGATTCCTGTTTCTCCAGCAAATTCTGATCAATTGCTTGGCCATTCATCAACAACTCCTGGTAATAGTAAGTGTATGCCTTTTAAATAAACTCTAATAAATTTATCAGAAGTAATTGTGGAGCAGCTTCTCAGTTACTTGGTAAATTGCATCATTATAAAAAATTGTATATCATTTCAGAGGAAGCACAAAAGTTTGTTTCTATTGCAGTAACCCCAGATGAAGCTTTTCATGATCCTTTACGGTACCAGAAATTTCCACTTCCTGGAGGTAAACCTTTGAATATTAGGCGTGGTCCAGGTAGACCTAGGAAAGAACGTCCACCTGGAGTTACACGTGGGGGAGGTACTCGTAGACCTTTTGGAAGAGGAACTACTAGGGGTAAAGGGTTAGTATAAAAGTACAGAATGTTAAATTTTCATATTTAAATATTTGCAAATTGACAAATTACAAATTTTTATTTAGTGTTGGATATGCTAGAGGTATACCACGCCGTACTAAAAGTAAAGATGACGACACACATTCAGAATCCCCAAGTCCTCTTCGTCTGGGTGAAGATACTACTCCTGATGGAGAGTCATCTAACGCTGAGAGATGCATGCCAGCACCAGAAGAACCACCATACTTTCCAGAACAATGGTACAAATATTGATACTTTATAATCTTGCATTTAAATGAATTAACAATTGTAACAAAATATTGCCATTTTTTTAGGCCTGGCAAAGTATGTGCTTTATGTAATTTGGGTGAACGAAGTCAGCTAGGTCAAGGTGAACTATTAAGATTTACCTGTCCCGAAGGTTTCACCCCTGAGAAGTCTACTAATCGTGACGATACAACTGACCACCTCGTTGATATATCTACTGGAGACAAAAGTCCCCGTGCAGCAGGTCCTGGTGCTGTGACTTGCCGTAGACAGAAGAGTCTAGCTAAGTGCAGGTATTGCTCATATTATACAATATAAGTTACTAAGGATGTGATAAAACATTTTTTTTTATTGATATTAACGCAATTTCATTATTTTTTATTATTAGAAATACTAGTCTAACAAATTTTACGGAACCAGTGGAGGAATTAACCATAGTGGGATATTCGGAAGAACCGGAAATAGGAACGTTATTTGAGTCAATCGGGCACTATTATGTTCATCAGTCTTGTGCAGTATGGTCAAGCAATACCCAAGAATTAACAACGGAAGTATTGAGTCCGGCAATAGTACAGGCTTCGTCGAGACGTTGTGCTTCTTGTTCTCATTATGGAGCCGGAATTCCTTGCAAAGTTAGTATTCTCTTATTTCAGTTATTACAGATTTTATATTATTTTATATTATATTATTTTTATACAGGTGGCATCGTGCAATCGTTATTTTCATTTACCATGTGCTGCAGCCTCAAGTTGCTTCCAGGATACAAAAAGCTTGTCTCTTTTTTGCAGTCAGCATCTGGGACAAGTTCCACTTTTGTGTAAGTGCTATGTGACAGTTTTTTTTTAGCTATTCAGGGTACGGATTTATATGTTATATTTTATTCTAGTGAATGGTGATGTTACTTGTATGCAGTGCTGTGGGATGGGAGATGTTTCCAACCTAGTAATGTGTTCCATCTGTGGCCAACATTACCACGGTAGTTGTGTCGGTTTGGCACTGCTGCCTGGTGTAAGGGCTGGCTGGCAATGTGTATCTTGCAGAGTATGTCAAGTGTGCCGTCAACCGGAGGATGTATCAAAAGTAATGTTGTGTGAACGTTGTGAAAAAGCGTATCATCCTAGTTGTTTACGACCAATTGTTACATCTATACCTAAATACGGTTGGAAGTGTAAGTGCTGCCGTGTATGTACAGACTGTGGTTCGCGAACACCAGGCGCCGGTCTCTCATCACGGTGGCATTCCCATTACACTGTATGTGATTCGTGTTACCAACAAAGGAACAAAGGTTTTTCGTGTCCCCTTTGTAGAAAGGCGTATCGGGCTGCTGCGTATAGAGAAATGGTTCAATGTAGTGCATGTAAAAAGTTCGTTCATGGTACCTGTGACCCTGAGGCTGATCCGTTAACCTATCAACACCGTAAAGAAGCTAAACCTGATTATGAATATATTTGTTTACACTGCAAAAATATGGCACTTGTAAAAAGGAAAGATAATATCGATGATTACGGGGGAGATTTGAGTTTAAGTGCGTCGCAAGAAAGTCTGTATGGTGATGGAGATTCGTCTGAGTTTGATTATCAAGGGGGATCAGAGGAAGCACTGTATTCCATAGGTCTTGGAAAGGGAAAACCATTCTGTGCATCTAAAATTGCAAAGAAACGATTAGGTCTTGGAGGAGGAATCATCGGACGACCAAAAGGAATTGGCAAGCTTGGATATCAAAAACGGCAGAAAATGACAGAATTCGGAAGGAAACGGGGCCCGAAGGCAAAGATGAGAGGTATCTTTGGAGTACCAGGAGTAGGACTGCAGGTAACGTTTAATTTATTAATACTTTATTTTATAGATACAGCCAGGTTATCGATAAGAAGAGGGAGCATTTATCTTAAATTACAAATTATTTATTTAATTTTTATTATCGTTTCAGAGGCCAATGTCGGATTCATTCTCGAAGGAAGATGAACCAGGCATTGAAAACAGACTTGTGTTATGTTCGGCTAAGGATAAATTTGTATTGACTCAAGATATTTGTGTAATGTGTGGTGCGATTGGCACTGACCAAGAGGGGTGTTTAATAGCTTGTGCACAGTGTGGTCAATGTTATCATCCTTACTGCGCTAACGTCAAAGTTACTAAAGTAATATTACAAAAGGGTTGGCGGTGCCTTGATTGTACAGTATGCGAAGGTTGTGGTGAAAGGAATGACGAGGGTCGTTTGATCTTATGCGACGATTGTGATATCAGTTATCATATTTACTGTATGGATCCACCGCTGGATTATGTGCCACACGGTACTTGGAAATGCAAATGGTGTGCGCACTGTCAAACTTGTGGTTCGAACGATCCAGGATTCAACAGTAGCTGGCAAAAGAATTATACGCAGTGTGGACCCTGTGCGTCTCACACAGCCTGCATATCATGCCAGGAAGCGTACAATGAGGGAGACCTGATAATACAATGCATCCAGTGTGAGAGGTGGTTGCATTGCGCGTGTGACTCGATCAAAAGTGAGGCAGAAGCTGAAAAGTGCGCGGAAGAGGGTTATATTTGTATACTTTGTCGTCCAAGGGATGTCCCACCGCCGCATCTTTTGTCCAATCAACCTAAACCACAACCAAATAAATACCCCCGTTCTCCACCACCAACGTCACGCAGTCCAGAGTTGTACAAACCTTCCCCTCAACAATATTTGGTCGACGGTGTTTATTTGTCCGAAGCTGGTATGAATCACATCAAATCTTTAACCTCTGAACATCAACAGACGAGAAAGAAGAGAAGAAAAATGCATCCCTTGATCGACAAGGAAGCAGATATAATGGCTACGATAGAATCCGTAATTGCTGGAGGAAGTTTAGACAATTCTTTAGAAGAAAATGGAGGAAAAATAGATTTATCGAATGTTAAAGATGAGCCCACGGAGGTACTCAAAGAAGGCATGGTATGGACACCACGTGGCGACCAACCTCCACCCGAGGGTTTTAGTATTTATACAACTGAGAACGGCATACCGATCTTAAGACGTAAACGTCAGCGTAACTTACAGAAGCTAGGTATCGGGGGTTTCATCGTCAGAATAAGAGGTACTCGAAAAGACAAAGAGGAAGATGGGGATCCTGAGAAGCCATCTGATTCGACTCTCGGTGTAAACGACGATAAACCACGCAGGAAACCACAGAGAAGGAAACCAAAGACCAAACTTTCTGAATGTTTTCCTCTCTACATGCAAGAGGCATTCTTTGGCAAAGATCTTATGGATACTACCAAAGATAAGGAACTGGAAAGCAGCAGCGAATCGGATAGCGAACGAAATATATCTGGAAATGCGGACACTATTCAGTTATCTCAGGATGAATTGAAAGCAATGGAACAAGTTAAAGCTAAGCAAGAAAAGGAAGAAGAGAAAGTCCCTTCAGAAACACCTATCAAGCGGGAAGAAATGATGGATGACGATGGTAGCGACACGGAAGCTCTCGGTGATATCTTACCTATTTCAGGTGATTTACTTGACAGTGACCTCGTTAATACCATCATGAACGAACAGGATGAAGATCTGGCGAAAGCCAGTGAAGCATTGGATGAATTAGATGACACCCCAGGTACTTCAACAAACGAGCTGACAGACATTTTGAGTCCGCATTTCAATTTAGAATCAATGGTCAGAGACACAGGTAAGTTTCATAATTATAATTTGTCTTTCAGCTTTTGTTAATACATGTTATATTTGTATCAGGTTTACCTAACATGGATAGTAAAGATATTGAAGAGATATTCAAAGGAGTTTTAACTGACGAGTCTCAAGAATCTCAAGAGTCGTCGGTTTTTCCTGTTCAAACTCAACCTCCACATCCTTCATCCACTACGACACCTCTTGTGTCTCCTTCGCCACATCCTGGTAAATATGAGTTTTCTAATACCGCCTTTGTTTTTTTACTTATGTAACTCATGTTGTAATAAATATGTAGGTATACAAACAACGATGCCTATACCAAGGCCTCAGGTACCAGGGTCACTGCCCTCTGTCGGGCAGTCGAATTTGAATTCCCCAATGAGTTTTCCACCACCGTCTCCATACCACTCAGAATATAGCAAGTACGTTTATATTCATACATATGTGTAATACTAAATAGTGACACAGTGGACTTCACAATTAATTGTTTGTGCTGTTTTTGATTATACAGTAGCCCACAATTTAGTCCTGCTTTCTCTGAACCACCGAGTCCATGGGTCAACCCTGATGATGAGGGTAGTACGCCAACAGGCAATACCACAATCTCATACAACCAAAGAAGTAATCTTAAAATGGAAGCCGATGAAGCTTTAGGTTCAGGAGCAACTATATCTTCTGTACTTTATGCAAATATTAACCATCCAGAATGGAAGACAGAATATCCAGGTATGTATCACATGCTAGCTCACATTTATTTGTTTAAATATGAATTAAATTTATTTGCAATTTTATCTGCGCCATTTAAGCTTGGTCAGAGAGATGCAAACAAATACTGAAGAAATGGCGTGCGCTTCCAAACGACAAAAAAGCTCCGTATCTAACGTTGGCACGGGACAACAGAGCTGCAATTCGTATGAAAAAGACCCAACAGGTAGGAATAACTTCTGTAAATCTTATTAGTAATGCAGGTGATAGAGAAACGTGAATCTTTATGTGATATGTATCCATTTTCATCTTTAAAAATGTCTTGTGCTAACACACAGGTCAAACTAACAGCTTGTCCTTTGTGTCCAATACCCGTACTTAAAATTAGTCAAGTTTTATTTGTTTAATCTGTTTCGAGAAAGCTGATAATGTACAGATGAGAATATAGAAGAATTTATAGCATAACAAATTCATAAATAATTAATTAACTTACATGTATATCATATATTTTAAAAATATCATACGATGCATCGAAGTATATATATATTTTCTATATTGGACATAATATAAGATTGCTTATTCTTTACGTCAGTCATCATCATTAATGTTATTACATTATCTAATTACACAAGTATCGAAGCATATTCTCTACTTACATTACGAATTGAAATCGTCATCTTTCTAACAACGTCCATTCTCCGGTCAAATCATATTTCGTTAGAAGCGTAGATGCTAATTTGATACTCTAGGAATACCAGTTTAAGTCTAGCTTCCCTCGATAGCGGTCCTTCGAATTCCTTAGAAATCCTTTTGAAGAAATTACACTATTACCTTTGTATGATGTATTTTGGAACTATTGTAAGCCGTAAATACTATAAGTGTGTGAACGAGGCACCCCTTGAACCGACAGATATCCAAGGATATACCAAGCACGACCCCAGTCACTGCAACAAGTGCACCTACCATCATCACCAAACCTGTCACAACTATGACATCAGCTCAAGTTTCTCCAGTAGTAGCTATGGCCTCCAACCAAAGGCAGATCGGACTTTTGGCCTCGGTGGGCAGTGAAAAGACACAGGAAAAGAACGGAATGACTGTGTCTGCAACAGGAGTGACAGTGTCGACAGCTAGCAGTAATCATCATGCGGAGGTGTGTGCGGTGCAGGGACCGCCGAAGCAGCTAACATCTACTTCCCCGAGTCCTTCTCCAACATCCACGACCCCTTCTTCTTCACCCAGGCCCAGTTCTGTGAACTCTGTTAATTCCATTAACAGCCTGGCACACCAAGAGATATCCGGTAGCCAGGCTAAAGTAGCTCAGTCGCCAGCCACGCCTTGCACATCAGCAACTGCTTCTTCTTACTGCAACACGGGCGCCGGTGAAGGGCAGCATCAAACGTCACCATCCCAGCAACGTCCCACACCTGCTCACATTACGATCAGTACCAGTACTATCGCTAACAATCTGAGCATTTCTCAGTCATCCCCCACTACCAACGTTATGGTGGGGGTAGGTCCTGTTCGCCAATTATCCTCGGTAGACCACCAGATTAGAGTGCTCACCCCATCTGAAATCATGCGCACCCTTCCTTCCCTCAGCCAGGAGCACTACGATCCGCCACCCACTGCAATTATTCACACTGTACCTGTACAGTCCCCGGCTATGGTGAGCCACCTATTCTGTGCCTCTAGTGTCTTGCCTTGTGCCACGTGTCTGATCGACATTTTGTGTTCCTTATCCTTTCTTTATATTTTAGAACAGAAACATCAGAATTTGTAGTGTCTTGCAACGATCCAATTACTTTTACCATAGGTCTGAAGCATTTAATGTTCAACATGATTTATGATGTTGATGTACTTTTTAATATGCTCATTGTTTCAGACTATTGGTTTTATGTAATGAATGAATTAATGTTGCCTTTGTATATATTTATTTGGTACTTTGTTTATCTGATCAGACACTTCATTATACATATATACACATACATGTATGTGTGTAAATTTCATTGATTTTTAATTTAGACTGTATTATTATAAATGTTTTATTTCATATAGTTTATTATTATATTGAATGTGGCATGTTGAAGACAACTGGTAGCACATTTTTTTTATTCCTATTCCTGATTATTCCGAGAATTATTTTTAAACGAAATATTTTCCTTCCTGTACACCCAATAGGTATATCGCTTACAAATTGTGTTATGAGTTGTTTGTAGATATTTGTTGCAACTTAGTGTTATATCCCACGTACAGTTATATAGTTAGTGTTACTAACTTCTGTTGCTTTTTATATTTTCAGACTCTTGTACAATTAGTATTGTTAATAGCTTTTGTACTTATTATGTTTATACTGTTGTATAGTTGATTAACGCTGTTAATTTATACTTAATAACTTAATCTAATATAAGAGGTAGAAGATTTTAACGTAGTATTTTACATAGCATAACAAATTATTTTCTTCTTTTTATTTTATTTATATATAACAAAATAGAAGTCTGATACTTTTAATACTATAATATATCTGTCTACGTACAATGGTATATGTGCATGAAACTATTATAAATTAATCTATGATGAATGTTTATGGGTGTTACGTGTGCTAAAATATATATATTTTTTTGATCAATCTTTGATTACATAATATTTATTCTAGATGGTGGCTGGTTATCATAACTGTGTTGCACATACAGAAAAATTCAGATTTTGCTAATTATATTAATATAGTAATATGCCATCATTTTATCTGAATGTTAAAAACTTTGAGTACACTTTGGCTGACTGTCAATTTGCCTTATTGTATATTTTATATTGCTTCCAAAAAAAGTGGATCATTATATTCTTCAATATTTAATACATTGATTAATTGAATATTTTAAATAAAAATACATTGCTGTGTTCAATCATACTGATTATAGCTGTGAATAACAATGATCATAAGAATATAATGATCTCTTGTATTAACCATTTTTGTCTCTAATAAAATCGTTTTTGACAGGAGCAAGAAAGACTTTCCAATAGAGATCGTTCTAGCCGAGAAGCTGAACAAGAACGTCAATGGAAACAGTTACAAGCATTGCGCCAGCAACAAGCACAGATGCAGCAACAAGTTATTCATGAACAACGTGTACACGGTATATAGCATAAAATTATACAAGCAAACTATAATGTAATTTACATTTTACTCATAATTACTGAACATTTACTTAACAGCTATTGCCAGAGTTCATAGACAAATAAGCGAAGACAATACAACTCAAATAAGTAATGACAATACTACAGGATTAACTACACAATTGCAAGTCTCTACGTCTCAGGTAAACTTTGTGATATAATTTTAAACTTGAAGGTATTTTTTTAAATACTTCACACAAATTATTTTGCAGGATGGAACTCATATGGGACCACTAGCCTCACCATCTCCTGGGTCACGCAATACGTTTGCGACACCTCCTGTAAAAGTTACACGAGGATTAGCACCTCAAAGCCCTCACCAAGGTATACCACGTTTACCGAATCAGCCATGCGCGGCCATGACTCGTCCGGTTGGAACTGTTGTTAGGCCTGGAATGCCTAATAGTTTTACCCAACCACCCTCTCCATTTTCGCCTCAAGCTCCACAATCTCCTCACGACTTCCCACAATCACCAGCTTCGTCACAATCTCAGGACCATTTTCAACGTTTCGACAATACCGACGCTTATTCTCAAGGTTCCCAGACACCCAGGTCACAGATATCTGGTACACCTTCATATTCCACGTCTCCCAGAAGCGACGTGTTCCCTCAGCCACCAGGTACACCACGGCCTATGTTTAATGCTCCTACTACGCGTCCTTCCACTCATGTATATGCACCATCTCGTACACCTGATCCATACAGTAGCCAGCCTCCTACTCCCTCACCTGCTCCAAACTATCCTTCACCGAGACCCGAATCTCGACAAGATTCGCAACAGCCTGAAGTGTTCAATCAGCAACCAGAAGTGAATAGACAATTACGCGATCTCTTGCAAAGACAGCAGTTCAGTAAGAAAATGGAGCCAGTGAGCACTACGTGGAACCAAGGTACTCGACGCATATCAATATGTGTTTTGTTTTTAGAATGTTGTATCTACGTATATGTCTTAATTTCCAGAAGGTCAGAACAATACTGAAAGCAATCAACAGCAATTCGATACATCCCATGTACAACTACCCCAACATTCTCAAGCGGCAAGTAACACCGGTGAAGGCACCTTTAGGCATCCTCTTCCTCCAGGTGTCAGACCGAGAATGCCCATTCAACCAAATGTATTGATAAGAAATCAAATTGGTATGTTTGCGTTATAATCGGATTACATTCATTATTATTTTGTTTGATATCAATAACTTTATTGTCATTTAACATTTAGGAATAACTTCGAGACATCCTGTAGCAGGAAATGTAGATGCCAGGATTCAGAATATGGATGCACGAACGAGGATGCTTTTACAAAGACCGCAAGTAGCAGCAACTATACCTCAACCACATTTTCAAGGAAACCAAACTTTGCAGACGCGAATGCCAACTGTAAGAAACTCTATTACAGAACCGTACGATGTTCTGCAACAGCAAAGGTTTCCAGGTACTAGAATGCGTCTTGAGTTACGATGCACGACGACAGAAGTGAACCAAGTTTTCAAATATTTGATTATTTGCAGATTCTAATCAAACTCAGACTATCGGGCAACGTATCGTGCGAGCACCTCAGGATAATTTAAATCAAGGAATTAGAATGTTAAGTTCACAAACAGTTGGAACGAGAGCACCTCTTATACCAACAACGGTCAGCGAAGCTACTGTCAGTCCATCGGAACCATCAGAGATTCCTGATAACGTCACTGCGGAGCTTGAGAAATTAGAACAAGAAGGAGCACCGATGGTCGAGGTCGAAGGAGAGGGCGTGAGTGCAATATTAGGTGAATTAGGCGACGACGACGACGAACTGCTTGGTAAGCGACTCGAAATAACATTCTCGTGTACTTGCATTGTATCTAAGTTACATGGAATATGTACGTTCATAAATATTTTTTTGTAGCTGAAATGGGGGCAGATTTTAACATTCTGGAATACGCAGACCCTGAGCTAGACAACATAACCGGTGGTGAGAAAACGAATATACTTGATTTAGATTTAGAGCAAGTTGAGGTAGAGACAAAGGACGAAAAACAGAAGAAGGAAGTTAAAGATGAGGAGCGAAAGTCGACAGAGTTAGGCGGAACGAGTGCGGTGCACACGGACATAAGTGACACGTGCACGACAACTACTGTACAAACACCCACGGAGACGTCTAATGCTCCAACACAAGCACAAACAGTAACATCCATTACCGCGTCGCAAACACCGCAGCAACCAGCTACGATTATGCCTCAGTCGCATGCTCAAGCTGTCGTTGTGCAGCAACAAATGCACCAGCACGTGCAGCAAGCCGCAGCGATGGGAAGGCCTATGCCTCCAGGAACTCGCTTGCTTTCGCCTGATGGAGCAGTTGGCGTTGTTACATCAACTAACACTGTTACGGTCAGTTATCCGTCCACGTTCCCTGGACATCCTCAGAGAATACCGCAAACGCATATCCAAGGTAGGTTGAATTTTGACTATGCAGAATTTCAAGTTTGGAATATCGTTTTGTGAGGATTCTTTTTTATTGTAGTGTCCCCTCAACAACGTCTTAGTATGAGAGTAACGGGGGTACCAAACGTGGCTGGTAGAGTGGTTGCCGTAAATCACATGATCGGTCCACGCATGCCGTTAGCTCCACCGCCGCCGCCACCTCCACCCCCATATCCTGGACCACCGCCGCCTTACCCCGGACCTATACAGGTTTGTGAATATTACACGTGTTTAGATGTTCTGAAGTTTTTGCATCGCTTTAATTTTGAGTATTTTTTATGCAATTATATTAACACTTTTGTCTAACTATCAGGAGATCAAGTTTATCGTAGCCTAATAAACGCTCTCAAGAAGTATGTAAGGATGCGTTTGGACTAAGCGTCTGGTTTAAATTTCATGAACATTTGTCCTCGTTTGCACTGAATGAGTACGGACGAATTTTCCTGCTCTTTAGTCTAAACGTATCCTACTCTAATTCTAAATAATCGAATCATCTCAACATAGGTTACCAATTTTAACTTGGTTCATACAGATTATAATAGCGATATTGATTTAATATATGAATCGGCGTGTGATCGTAATTAACTGTAAAATAATTATTGTTGATCTTGTAACTTTGTAGCATTTTGAATTCACGTGATTGTGTTAATACGAGATGTCAAGTTTTTTTAAGTATACAAACTCGAGCGAGAACATGAGATCTAAAAAATATGCTATGAACGTAGCCGTAGGCAAGTAATTTTAATATAAAAGTATTGGCTGGTAAAAATGGTGTTTTCGCCTGGGTGTTTGCAATGCATTGGTGTTGGTGCATGTCTAGATGGGGCTGTGCCCAGGTGGGCGGGGTATGACGCGGCCCCCAGTCCATATAGGGCACCCAGTACCGGTGGCGGGTCCACCAATGGCCCCTGTGGTACATACTGGTACGCCCGCAATGACACCTCACCCTCACCGAAGACCCTTGCTTCTGCAGGTGAGCAAGACTTGGGGAATTTACAGAATTCAGCACAAAGTATCACCTGCAATGATACTAAGAGTCAACGATTATGTCGTCAAGATTTTATTTCTGCACTAATGTTTTTTTCTTTTCAACTGCATTGAACACAATTGTAGCAACAAATCTAATATGAGAGAAGCGAAGATGGCTTTATTGTTCAAGAATACATTCTTATATTATTATTATTAAGATGTTATATTTTTCAAAATTTAGCAACAGTTATCCACCAAAGCATTGAAAAATTTATTTTGTAATTCACATGGATGCAAATATTACTGACTCCAATTATAACAAGGTTTTATTCAACAGCTAGTATATCATTGAAACTAAAATATGTTGCATTTTTACGTCTGCATGTATGTTAATCAATAATGAAAGGATCAGGCTTCATCGCGATACTTGATTCAACGTTATCCGAAAATTACATTCATATTTTTGTACTGTTTAAAACGATTTATGTTGATGAAGATAATCGTAGAAGTAGTATCTTTGCATGTTTGTATCTATTTTCATTGATTAGAGTGATCAGTGTGCTTTATTTCGTTGTTTAATAAAATCATGATACATAAATTTTCCACTTATACGATCACGTTTTATCATTTCGATTGAACACATGTATATTTCTTTACATAATATTATATCAAATGGTTGGAGGTTCGATAAGCTGTTAGTAGTCGTGTTCACAGGAACAACCATTATTGTTGGAGGAATTGTTGGAGCAAGAGAAACGTGAGCAAGAGAAGCAACAGCAACAACAACAGCAGTTCAACTGCATTGAACACAATTGTAGCAACAAATCTAATATGAGAGAAGCGAAGATGGCTTTATTGTTCAAGAATACATTCTTATATTATTATTATTAAGATGTTATATTTTTCAAAATTTAGCAACAGTTATCCACCAAAGCATTGAAAAATTTATTTTGTAATTCACATGGATGCAAATATTACTGACTCCAATTATAACAAGGTTTTATTCAACAGCTAGTATATCATTGAAACTAAAATATGTTGCATTTTTACGTCTGCATGTATGTTAATCAATAATGAAAGGATCAGGCTTCATCGCGATACTTGATTCAACGTTATCCGAAAATTACATTCATATTTTTGTACTGTTTAAAACGATTTATGTTGATGAAGATAATCGTAGAAGTAGTATCTTTGCATGTTTGTATCTATTTTCATTGATTAGAGTGATCAGTGTGCTTTATTTCGTTGTTTAATAAAATCATGATACATAAATTTTCCACTTATACGATCACGTTTTATCATTTCGATTGAACACATGTATATTTCTTTACATAATATTATATCAAATGGTTGGAGGTTCGATAAGCTGTTAGTAGTCGTGTTCACAGGAACAACCATTATTGTTGGAGGAATTGTTGGAGCAAGAGAAACGTGAGCAAGAGAAGCAACAGCAACAACAACAGCAGCAACAGCAGCAGCAGCAGCAACAACAACAACAGCAGCAGCAGCAGCAGCAACAACAGCAGCAGCAGCAGCAGCAACAACAGCAGCAGCAGCAGCAGCAACAACAGCAGCAGCAGCAGCAGCAACAACAGCAGCAGCAGCAGCAGCAACAACAGCAGCAGCAGCAGCAGCAACAACAGCAGCAGCAGCAGCAGCAACAACAGCAGCAGCAGCAGCAGCAACAACAGCAGCAGCAGCAGCAGCAACAACAGCAGCAGCAGCAGCAGCAACAACAGCAGCAGCAGCAGCAGCAACAACAGCAGCAGCAGCAGCAGCAACAACAGCAGCAGCAGCAGCAGCAACAACAGCAGCAGCAGCAGCAGCAACAGCAGCAGCAGCAGCAACAACAACAACAGCAGCAGCAGCAGCAGCAACAACAGCAGCAGCAGCAGCAGCAGAGCGACAACACAACTTCTGGAGCATCTTTATTAAGTGACAGTGAGTTTGAAAGATTTAGAGCAGATATTTTGGGATCTGCACCTCTTGCTTCTCCTCCACAAGGAATTACATCAGTACCTGGAGGAGTTCCTGTAATTAGGCCATCTTGTACACCAACACCACCATCCGCTCCAGGTACCAGTTGGCAGCAGACAGTTCCTGATGCGACCAAACTAGCGACCCAAGTGCCCAGGCAGCCTATCGCCACTCAGACTCCACCAGAACGTTAGTGACGCAAACACGTTATGCGATTGTATTTAATTTGTCTGGTGTTTAATTGAACCTGTATTAATTGCAGCAAGGGTTGCCACGTTTAACATCTCTCAGATTCCTGCTCCGCCGACACCTCCGGAGAACATTGTAAACGAACAGGATCGCCAAGTACAACTGCAGTACGAGCAGTGGCTAAATCACCAGCACCAAGTGTTGACACAGCAGTTGAAGTATTACGAAACTGAGGTACAAAAGCTGCGTAAAATACGAAAAGTAAGGATAGAATGTTTTTATGTTGCGGTGTTTTCGTTTTTATAGCATACTAAATGATACGGCCTCACTACAGTTCGATTTTCTCCCGATTTTACAGTCCCTCAATAGCAAGCAACGGCAGTTACGAAAATCCGGGAACGAATTGACGGAGAACGATGCCGCCGAGCTGCAGCGTATTTCGAGCGAGCAAGCGATATTGCAGAAACACCTGGACGCGAGTCGCAAGCAAACTCGACAGCACGGCATGTTAATACAAGAGTACCATACCAAACAACAACAGAGACAACCTCAGCAACAAAGCAGCGAGCCATGTTCACCGTTGATGTCGCCCTCTCAGCAGTCGCCGATGCACAGTCCTGCTGCGCTCGTTTCTCAAAGCCCGGGCCCTGGGAATGTTCCTACGAACATGATACAGCATTCCCCGGCAACTCCCATCATCCAGCATAGCCCCAACCCACCGTTGTTGCAACATAGTCCTGGTAATCCGCAGTCAGGAAATCCAGGAACGATGTCGCCTCATAATATGCAACAGTCTCCTAGAATCGGAACTCCTCACTCGCAGAACGAGGAAAGCCCTTTCAGCCCTGGCGCTATGCCGTCGCCTGGCATGTGTGGTCCTTCAGCGACTCGAATGACATCTCCGCAGCATCGTGCAATCATCAGTGGAAGACTCGCGACCAGTCCGGGTGCTTTCACTCCGGATACCCGAAACACCCAACAAATTATCGGAGACCAGGGAGTTAGAGTTCACGGCCTGACTCAACGTTTCGTCCGTCCACCGGCTGTAGGAGAACCTGGCCAAAGGCCCAGATTGCAACTACAAGGAGGAATCGTGTACGGACAACGTTCGCCGCTAGGGAGTCCACAACCCACGCAACAAACTTTGATGAATCAACAACATCAACAGATGTTACAGCGGCAACAAATTATTCAACAGCACGAGACCGCTGGAATTCTTCAGGATGGACAAAACACTATCACTCAGCGTACGCTGCAAATGGCGCAGCAGAGGCAACAACTGTTACAACAGCAGCAACAGCAACAGCAAATAGTACAGCAACAAAGGCAACAGTTTTTGCAGATGCAGCAGCAACAGCAGCAGCAACAACAGCAACAACACACGATGCAGAAACCACCTAGTTCTCCGATGGTCTCGCAACCTGCGAATTCTCCGAGTCCTCAACTTCACCAACAAATTCAACAGAATTATGGACAGCCTCCGAATTCCCCTATGCCTCGTAGCCCCATGATTCAACAAACAATGGGCTCGCCGATGCTCCAGCAACAACTGAGCCAAACTTCTCAACCTCCTAGTCCTATGAACGCGAGGATTCACTCTCATCCACCGAATTCACCAATGATATCTCAATATCAACCACCGAGTCCAATGTCTCGTAATCATCCTTCGACGTCGCCGATGTTGCAGCATCAGTTGAACAACACTCATCATCCTCAAACGTCTCAACCACCCAGTTCTCCGATGCCACGAAGTCCTATGGTCGGTGGTTCGCCCATGCAGATGCAGAGGAGACAATCCACCGGCAACAGTCCAGCGATGCCGGATCGACCGCAGAGCGTGGAGAACCCAGGAACTCCGAGAACTCCGCACACTCCACACACACCGCATACCCCGCACGGTTCTTACACCACCCAGAACTCCAGCAGCATGACAGTAACGAGCGATCAGCAGCAACAATTACAGCAGTCGCATCAACATCCTCAACAATCTCATTCGCAGGACCAAACGTCCTCGACGGATCATGCGAACAGAGGCGGTGGCAATCCGCATAATCCACTGAACCCAATACCATTTGCGAGCATATTCGGACGTTACGGATACTTCAAACTCGGACTGAGAGGTGGTTCTCCCATGTGGTCAACGAAGGCAGAGACCAGCAAGGGTAAAACCTCGGAATCGCATTTGTTGAACATAGACGAGAAACCGAACACTTCCGTGGTGGTGCACAGGAAGACTGGTATTCCGCAATCGAAAATTAACTCCCTAGTGTGCGCAGACTACAACGATTTCGACGACGATTCGCGTACACCGCCTCAAACACCACCCACCGCCTTGGAATCCAAGCAAACGACCTCTTTATCCGATAACGGACCCCTGACGCTGGGCAGCCCCAGCAACAAGATGGAGCCGATTCCTGACACCACCGATTACGACGATGACAAGACCATAGTGAACACGGAGGTGACGTTGAGTTCCACCGCGCAACGGGACAGCGACGATATTACGGTCATAGACCAGTTCGGAGACTCGGAACTTGTGGACGTGATATCGGGAACGCTGGAAGGCGACATGCAAGAGGAATATGTTTTGTTCGAGCCTGGAATGGTCGTAGACCTGTCAGCGGATAGTAACGACTCCCTTTGCCAGGCGCTGGTCAACGAAGGCAGTCAAGGACACGATTTAGTACAAATTTTAGAGATTGAGAACCCAGAATCTCAAACGGACGAGCCGATACTTAGCGACGAAGATCTGGTGCCTTCGCACACGAGGAACAAGAAGGGTCTGAGATTAGACATCGTGAGGACCTTACAGTCTGGTAAAAGGTTGGTTGCGGTTACGGACACGCCTGAGTCGCCCGATCAGGAGGAACTTCGCGTTGACCCGTCGCCCGGTTCTTACATGGACCAGTCGCCTGAACAGGACCTCATGGTGTCCTTCGTTAGCGAATCCGAAGTGGTGATCATCGATCCCAGCACGAAGTCGCCCGAAGATAACCTGTCGAAGGAATCGTGTCCCGAAGAGGTCGAGAAGACAGACACCACGACTGTGTCCGAGGCGCCGAAGGAAAACGCTGTCGCGGAGTCGACCGTCGAGGATCAGTCGAAATCACAGAAAGAGTCAAAAGTAACTAGAAGTCCTCCGTCGTTTGTGTTCTGTAACAACGTTCTATACAATCAAATTCCACCTTCTAGCATTCATCATGCGAACATAGGTGTGCCGTCTATCTACAAGTCTACCGTAGCCTTGGGAACTTCTGCGAGCACGCACGCTGCCACGGACAACAACAACAAGAACACTACCGCAACAATTTCCACCTGTGTGTTAGCTTCAGCAGACACGGCCGTTAAATCGACGTCGATTTTTCCTGCCTTGAACATGGCGAAGGACACAGTGACATCGTCTTTTAATAATCAAAAACAGCTACCGTCGACTATGGCCAGCATTGTCGCGGACGCTAAGATCGCTGCGAAGCTCAGTCAAACTGTTTTGGAGAACATTGCGGTCAGCTCGCAACAGAACGTGAAAACGGAGCCGCTGTTGAGTATCAGTGCACCGAGCATAGAACTTTCGAAGCCTCAAACCACTTACGCCGACAAGTTGACATCGTCGGTCGCCAGTTTGCACAATAAGATCACGAGCTTTGTACAGAACGCTGCGACTAGTACGGTGGAAGCAACGAGTAACCCTACGAAACTGGTGTTGAGCGTGCAACCAACGTCTGTCACGCTGTCTACGCCTAAGATGTCCATTCCTGATCTTCCTAAGAAGGAGAACAGTAATTCCGTGGCGGTGTCGAAGGAGAATCAGCTGGAAGTTTTGGAGAAGAACAACGCGAAGAACGAGAAGGACGAGACTGATCACTCGGCGAAAAATTTGGAGGAAACCAGCGTGAATACTTCAGGCGCAAACGTAGCGACGAGCACAGCAACTCAAGAACTGACATCAAACGAAGACAAGAAGAACGATCTTTTAAACACAACCGACGAACTGGAGAGCATGCTCGAGGCGATTCATAATCCTGCCGAGAACATAAGCAGAGAGAACTCGCATACGGATAACAAAGACACTGCTTCTTCCCTGAAGAGAATATCCCCGGTCACGGATGACCTGTCTTTGGTGAACATTTTGGAAAACGACTCTGAACCGGTCGAGAACGAGAACAAGGATGAGAACGTAGCAACGTCGGAAGCTCAGAGAGTCAACAATAAATCAAAAGAGATCGAAACGAGTATCGCTGACAATGGTAATTTAAGTATTCCTCAAAAGGAAAAGAAGCACGACGAGCTGTGCACGGATATCGAGACGAGCAAACCCTACGTGCCTCACTGTCTTAACGAGGAGAAAGGTATGATGGAGGAATCGTCCGACGACATATTGGACATGCTACACAACATCATATCGTCCAAACCAGAAATGGCGAACAGTGAAATGCTGCAGGAAGACAGATCCAGGAAGAGTATGATGTACGAGTTGCCAACGCCTCTAGACACCTTACCCTTGAATATACTTCAGGACTCTTTGATGGATTTAGAGCAGGAGCACTCGGATAACGAGCACCTTCTGACGAACGAGAACAAAGGACCAAAAATACAACAGAAGACGAGTTCACCTCCCATAGAAGTTGCACCGAAAAAGAGTTCTCCGATTCCTCATCAGAGTACTCCTTTGGTAGTCAGCACCATAGCGCAATTGCAGAAATGTACAACCACGGTACCTCATCTTTCTCCGCTGTCGAAACCTACCGAACTGACGTCGAACGTCGCGAACGTGTCGCATCAGTTGAGAACGTTGCTTTCTTCTTTACAGACCAATCATTCGCAGAACTGCACGACCGTCAATCAAAGCGCCATCGTCACCATGGTGTCTTCGGCGATCTCCGTGTCGAAAGTAGGAAATATTCTCACCACGATGAGCTCGTCTGCGCCGAACTCTGTAAATAATCTGCATAGCAATGCGAACGTTCGTCTGCAGACCTGCATAACTACTTCGCATTCGACAGTCACGTGCAAGCCTGATTTAGAGACCACGACCGCTAATTATACTCCTCATTCAAAGGAAAGTACAAATTCTACGATAAGCGTTGTTTCTACTTTGTGTAAGGTCACCTCTTCGGATCCGTTTTTACGAGTCACGTCCAGCACCATGCAGCCACAGCCTACCAGTAGTATAGCCCTGCAAACATCGTCCGTAATCACTCCTAGACCACCGACCAACTCGGGGATCTCGATCACTTCGAACGCGATGCTGAACGCCATGCTAGCTGGCACGAACTCCGCGAAGCCGTCGATCGCCGGTCACCGAACGAACACGGCTCCGACACAAGCCAGTAACCTGCTGAGCTCTGTCATGGCAACGTCGGTACAGCGCACTCAAAGTCTTCAAGCTATCCTGCAAGTGAGTTCGGGCTGCTCCTCGGCTCCCTCTCGAGTCGTGGTGAACGCCACGTCGACGACCGTCACCACGTCCATGCAGTGTGTCAGGACCATTGTACCTCCTATAGTTACTACCAGCACTAACAGCATCAACGTCACTACCAGCATACTGCAGTCGACCCTGTCTCAAACACCGACGTTGTTGCATTCGCAGCTCACCTCTGGCACTCAGTATAAGTTAGCTGGACACTTGTCGGTAGAGAATAAGAGTAACGAGCTGGAGAGGCTCGCGCAAAGTACACCGTTGAAGAAAGAGTCGGAGGAGTCAAACTGTAAACCGCAATCGGCACTCGACAAACCACCGACCGCCAGACTCGAATTGGACGCGAGTAAGAGCTCGACTGGGTCCCACAGAATGGAAGAATCGCAGAACGTGCTGTTGAAACAACTTTTGCAGAATACCGCATGCGCGACGACCACCTTGTGTTCCGGTTCTTCGCAGGGACCCAGTCTACCCCTGGTACCTTCGTTGGAAGCACAGTTGGCTAGGCCAGTACCTCCCACTCCGTTCTCCGTTCTGCCACCGTTACTGAACGAAGTGCCAGCGCCCAAGACCACCTGCAACAAGCAAGTTCTGAACAGAGAGACGTCGTTTCTGTCGCAATCGGTAACGTCCTTGAAAGTGCAAAGTCCACCCACCAAGGAGGAGCCACCGAAGCCGCCTCCGCCGCTCTCGACCTCTGCACCGGTCCTATCGCAGCAGCGCGTGGCCGACACGTTCGTTAAGCAGCAAATCACAACTCAACCCGCCAAGACAATTCCTGTCACGACTCAGGCGAACCAGCAACCGACCACGACAACCATCAGCAAGCAACCACCGCCGCTTGCTACCAAAACCTCGGAGACAACAACGGCCATCAAACAGGAGTCTATCGTTACGCAGTCGCAGACGAAGCTTCCCAACGATCCTGTAGTCAACAGTACCGTGTCCGTTCAGGAACAGTGCGTGTCGACTATGGCCGTTTCACGAGTGGTACCGCAGACGAAGCCCGTGATCACGACGGTGGCTGGTAAAACTATACAGTCCACCACCCAAGTATCGAGTACCGTTCAAACCACCCAAGTGTTGACGACTGTCACGACTGCTCCGCCACAGCAGACACAGCAAACCCAGTCCCAGATACCAGTTACCCCGAAATCCATTGTCTCGACCCAGCAACAATCCCCGCATATAAATACAATACCGCCATCAGTGCCTCATACGGTGTCTCACACTGTGGGCCACCAAGCCCAGGCGTCACAGGGTGCAAATGCACAACACACAGTGCCTTTAGTGGAAGTCAAAAAGGAAGTTCTTGATGAAGTTCTATCTAGTGGTACACCTACCCAATTAACCGATACCAAAGACTTTCTTACTGCCAAAGAGGAGCTTATGGATGGATCGATTGACGACAAAACTGGTATGCAAATTGCTATTTGTACTACGATGCAACGTTGACTTCCTTTAGAAATTTTTAATTTATAAATTTTTGTCTGTACTTGGAAGTAGTTCCTATTATTTCCTTTGCATAGATTGTTCCTTTATTATCTTGTGCTCATTCGTATCACCATTTGTAGATCTCAAGAAGTTCAAGAGGCGACAATATCAACAGAAACGGAAACAAAGCCAGGGAAAGGACGCGGCGACAGCACCTCAGAAGAAGCGTGCTAGAAAACCATCCCGCTTAGACGAGGATTATGACACGTTCATTGACAATTTAATGACACAGTTGCGGCAACTTCAACCAATGGCAGTATTAGAACCACTTCTGGGCAGAAATTATGGCGTGTGCCCCATCTTTGGCTCGGGAGACCTGACGAAGATAGGCAGTCAAAAGGATTATAGCACCAGAACTGGAGACTTGATCGGTTCATATGGATCCGCGACATTGCCTGGCGTGTCTGATCACTATAACACCCAACCATTTGGTGAATTAGAACCTTTACCACCTCAGCAACCTGCTTCCACTCAGAGAGGATTCTATGATCAGGAGTTTCCACCTCTCAAATTAGATGATTGTAAGCTTTCTTATGTCAAAAGATTTTCTGTTAAGATTTAAACTTAGACTTAACGAGGTAAATGGTCAGGTAAATAATTATGGCTAGGTCTTTCTTCATTGTTAGCTACCTGCCTATGTGCCTAATCTAGATGACGTTGATTGAAAGTCATTCTTCTTACAATAATTTATTTTTCTACTAATATAAACATTGAATTTTCAGCCGACGAAAAGAAAGAGAATTCTCTGTCAATGAACCGCGACGTCGATTCTCCTGACACCATAGTCAGTTCATCCTCACCCGAATGCGTCATCCCAGAGTTCATCCATCGATTCCCAGGTTTGAGATTAATCGAGGAGGAATCGGACGAGGAATCAGATTGGCTAAAACGAGTTTCACCCGTAATACCCTTGATTTCACCGATACCAATTAGACTGAAACCAACTTATATTAAGGATACCTCTAAGCAAGATAAAGAGAACCTAGGAATACCTCGGTATGTAATTACTAACCTAACTAGTTATGAAATGTATTTTTAATTTATTAATTGAACAAATTTTTAGCCTTGGAAAATCACCACCAATACCTTTGAGAGACGGCAACATAACAGTTACATTAACATTGAATAGTCAGGCTGCGGATGATATAATGGGAGTACTTAAGGATTTGGCTAATATTTTAAATATTGCTCCTCCTACTGGTTACCAGATAGTAGAACGTACTACTACTCCTCCTAGTCAGAAATTAGGTCTTTATAGAACCAAGGGAAAAGATGGTAAAGAAGGAGGTGTGTTTTTTAATAATTATTTTATTTATAAATGGCATAACTAACACGTTTGTTAATTTATATTGAACTTTTAGCTCCGATTGATATACAGAGTATTTTGAATGGCGCCGCGAAATTTTGTCGTCATTGTGATGTTGTGATATTAAATAGTTTAATAAGAAAAAAAGTATCAGATTTACCATTTTTGAGTAAGGAAGAAGCAGAGCCTGGCGATGAACTATGTTTCTGTTCCGCTGCCTGTTACATGCAGTTCGCCCTTATGCATAGAACACCGACAAACACACAAGATAAGGTAAGCTCACACTTTTATTACTCGTGTACAGGAGTTTATTTAACGCATATTTCCCATAGGCTGCAACGATAGTAGATCATCTGTGTCATAACAAAATAGATAATAAGGTATTGGACGATGATTTCAAAAAGGGAAAGAAATTTGTGGTTAAACAACCGGTCGAACACGTTGAAAACATGGAAGTGGATCAGATAGAGAAGGAACCTGAAATTAAGATTAAAATGGAGAAGGAAGAGCAGGAAGTGCCGGAAACAAAAGAAGAAATATTAGAAGAGAAACGACCGAAGAAACATTCAGTAGTAGAAGAGTCTTCGACTGAATCGACTGAACCACAACCACCTGCTAAAGTTTGGAGAGGCTTGCGGTACAAAACTTGGTCTGTTGGCTCGATGCAACCTCCAACTAAATACAAGAAACCAACCGACAAAGAAATCACGGAGGTATTAAATGAATATTGTATACAGTATTTAATATAAGCACTGTAATCATACGGTATAATCATAAAATGTTTCAAATGATTTATTTCAGATGCTTTTCCGTATGGGAGTGACTGTAGTACCTGCCAAAGCGGAAGACAGTCGACGATGCATGTTTTGCCACAGTCAAGGTGATGGTACAGCCGATGGTCCCGCTAGATTACTTAATTTTGACGTCGACAAATGGGTGCATTTAAACTGCGCTCTTTGGTCAGAAGATGTGTATGAAACTGTGAATGGTGCCTTGATGAATCTCGATACCGCTTTGCAACATAGTCTTGTATTAAATTGTATCGTTTGCGAGAAGCCTGGAGCTACAGTAAAATGTTTTAAAATGCGTTGCACCAACGTGTACCACCTTGGCTGCGCCGTTAAAGATGGCTGTGTTTTTTATAAGAATAAGGTACAATTGATACTTCTATAAACATAGAAAAATCTAACATGACCACATTAAGCTATAACATTGTGTGTTTTTCCAGAGTACCTATTGCTCTCAGCACGTTCAAAAGAACGAGAAGGATAACGAGCTAACTACATTATCCGTGTACAGAAGGGTGTACGTGAATCGGGACGAGAACAGACAAGTAGCGGCTGTGATGCATCACTCGGAACACAATCACCTGTTGAGAGTTGGAAGTCTAATATTTTTAAGCGTCGGGCAATTGCTTCCGCATCAACTTGCCAATTTTCATACGCCGAATTACATATACCCCGTTGGATACAAAATCGTTAGATTCTATTGGAGCATGAGGAGGCCAAACAAACGCTGCCGTTACGTGTGTTCCATCCACGATGTTTCCGGCCGACCCGAGTTCAGAGTACTGGTACAGGAACCTTTGCAAGAGGACGTCGAACTACGAGATGCCACGCCTCGTGCTGTATGGAGCAGGATCCTAGAGCCGCTTGCCGAACTACGAAGAACGACGCACAGCGTCCAGTTATTCCCGCGTTACGTCTCTGGCGAAGATCTGTTCGGGCTAACCGAGCCAGCGGTCGTCCGTGTTCTCGAAAGTCTTCCAGGCATCGAAACCCTAACCGATTACAGATTTAAATACGGTCGAAATCCATTGTTAGAGTTGCCGTTAGCGATTAATCCTACCGGTAGCGCGAGAACGGAGGCTCGTCTTCGAAATCAGCTTCCCTGGAAGAGGCCACACACGCAACGTACGGGTTCCTCGGCGAGAGCTGCTTTTGTACCGACCGCCACCGTCGCTGGTGAAGTGGCCTGTCCCTACTCGAAACAATTCGTTCATTCCAAGAGTTCACAGTACAAAAAAATGAAACAAGAATGGCGTAACAACGTGTACCTGGCACGCTCCAAGATACAAGGTTTGGGATTGTACGCGGCGAGGGATCTGGAGAAACACACGATGGTCATTGAGTACATCGGAGAAATTATTCGTACGGAATTGGCGGAGACGAGGGAGAAGCAGTACGAAGCACGGGTATGTTATTGCTATTTTTCAGTATGTATAGGATTAAACAGGCATGACCATGAATTTTCAAATTTAGAAGTTTGAAAATGTAGTTGGTCGGTGTATATATACAGTAGAAATTTGTTTATGCCTGCAATAGGGAGCAATATCATGACACGATAATATAATTTTCTTACTTTTGTATAAGATTTGTATCATACAATTAATTGTTAAAATAAATGTTAACCGAGAAGCGGTGTCTTTTGGAGTAATCTTTGATTCCTGTAATGATGCTCTCTAATATGATCTATATGAATGATGGAAAACTAAGGAAATGTTTGTTATAGAATCGTGGTATTTATATGTTCCGATTGGACGAAGAGAGAGTGGTCGATGCGACGTTATGCGGAGGCCTCGCAAGGTACATCAATCATTCTTGTAACCCGAATTGTGTCGCTGAAATAGTCGAGGTCGAACGTGATCTTAGGATTATAATCTTTGCGAAGCGAAGAATCTCACGTGGCGAAGAGGTATGATATTCGTATCAATATTATTTTATTCTAATTAATCGTTTATACATGGAACATTGTTGTTTGCTTTTACAGCTGGCATACGATTACAAATTCGACATAGAAGATGACCAGCACAAGATAGCATGCGCATGTGGCGCGCCTAACTGCCGCAAGTGGATGAACTAAAGAGCTCGATCCACGGTTGTTATTGTTACTACGTTATTGGGTAGGTTTTACATGGAGAAAAAGAAAGAATTATATATAAATATATATACATATATATTATATTTATATATATTTATATATATATAGACGCATTATTTAATTTGTAAAGTGCCATTGCAGTTTGACTAATTGATTCATAGTGAAGTTGGTGCTATGCCATCACAACATTCCTCCAAAGTTGTACAATATTAGTTTTACTTTACAAAAAACTAGAACATTGATCGCTTGTATATTACGGACACTCTTTAAATGACACGACACCAGATCATTGAAGAAAAAAGAAATTTTTATGGGGTCGTGTGTATGTATACAGAAAGTTTGTATCTTTGTATGTTGAGTAGGGTCAACCGTTTCGTTGGCCTGTATTGTAATATAAATCGTTTATTAATTATTATTGCATATACAATTGCACTGTATCTGTAAATAAGTAGAGAATCCATGTTATTTTGAATCACCAGATGAATTATGTAAAATAACAGTATCTAATTTAGAATTATATACAATTATATCTATTTCATTATATGATAATAAATCCGTACAAAATCTATTGATACCTTCATTTTTGTAAATACCTCTTAATGTGTAATTCGATCTGTTAGCGTTTCATAAGAGAAATACAAAAAACAATAGTTGTCATATACAATTTTGATGAAGTATACAAAGATTTTGCTGTCGTGATTGTTCGTTTCAGATTGTATTATTTATGTTTTCATACTGTGCTTGTAGTGATACAATATATGCTTCTAAATTTACCAGTAAAAAAAGGGAAAAGAGAAACTGTTATCGAAGAGAACACATTTCTATGGTTAAGGAACATTTCTTCCTTCAATGAATTTGTATTATGAACCGCGAAAATTTGTATACAAATCATGTGTATATATTTATATATAATTACTAGGAACTTCAAAAAATGATGTAAAAATTGTTTTTATTATACTAATACTTGATGTAACGTTGTAACACAATGATGTAATGTAAAACAATTGAATTTATTTTTTAATAATATATAAAGACCTATTGACAAAACAATTTTTGATAAATGTGTTTTACCATACATGGCATTTTTATCAAAGTGTTGATAACACCGTTTCATTTATCGCGTAATAATAAACAGACACTAAAAACAGAAAATAGAATTGTATTTAGCATTTAATTCATTTCGTTCGAACATTGTTGGAACACTAATGTTCCAAGGATAAAAGGAAGACAAAACGAGAATGAATCATGTTTGCAATTTTATTTTCGCAATTGTAAAATAATATTTACAAAGTGATATATCGCATGTACATAAAAGTACACAGTCATTTCTTAAGTTTCACAGTTAGTATAAGGGAACAGATACAAAGAAACTAAAAAATAATATATACAATGAGTATTCGATTGCAAAGATGTGTCGCTATGGATTTATACAAAATTCTCGATGGAATCTTCGTTAAATTTTTATTTGTACAATTGGGAACGAAAACAACAAAATATATATAACTGTAAACGTAACTGATATCATTATATGTGTATGTATATATAAACTTGATAGAATGAAAAAAAGGTAAAATGAGAGAGCAAATAAATCACAACAAGAAAAAAGAATATTTATCGAAATATGCAGGCGATATAAAGAATGTAATGTAATCGGTGAATATGTGAATGTAAATGCGATTAAGGAAATACATTGCAATAAAATGTATTTTAAATGCGATTCTTTGGCATTTATACACAATACAATTGTAAGGTGATCCTAACGTTACAATAGTAACTTATATACAATTAAAAGAAGTTGAGGTAATTATATAGAACATTGTAAATTCCATATATTTCAATAATCCTAATATATAGCAGACCTTATATTTCTTAAATTTTTAAATTTCTGAATGTAAAAGTTTATAAACCACTACGTACTACATCATCTCATGGTACGTTACTAAAATATCAAAGAATATAAACACCTAACATTGTCCATTGCTGCAATTTTTGTCATTGGCAATATAACAAGAGTCTACTGTATATCATGGTCATTGAAAAATAGTTGAATTTACTCTATTCTATAAAATTACCAAATTATCACCTTATGCGTTCAGAATAAGTACAGAAACAAGGTACGCTTCCAAAAAGGAGAAAAAACACTTGTGTACTATTGACGTATCAGATAACAATATTACATTTGTAAATGTTGTATAAAAAAAGAAGTTTTCTCGCAAATTTTGTAAATTCATACCTGATCGGTATTACTTCGACTAACATATCGATGCTGACTGTATATTATATATTGTTTCTAACACGATGAATCTCTAGCGAGGATTTTTCGAGTATTTTATCTAGAAAAAAAAAGAAAAAAAAAGAGAACAGAGAATAGTTTCATTATATTGAGCGATATCTGTTGCTTTTTAAATATTACGCTTGTAATGCGAAATCCATGCAATTTGTCTTCAACTTCCGTATTCGATGAAATGTGTAAATTGTAATAGTCATAATTTTTTCTGTTTTTTGTAGATCATTGTCTTACACAATAATTTTCCTTGATCGATGTACGAGAGATTCTCGATAGAGTAGCTTATTGTTAGGTTTCTTAAAATACATATCAAGCTATTCCTGTTTGCAAAACGATCGGTTTGGCAAATTTCGTAGGACTTAATTGAGAGAACATTAGTAGAAGTTTGTAATTAGAGTTCGAACCATGTCTTAATTTTCAAAATTAAGTTGCAATAAACTTGTTTTATGATAATTACTTGGTTGATCTATTTCTTCGAATGTACCTCATACTATTTTGTCCTTCTGTGCTCTACAAGATGTCCCATCCTGATTTAAATATTTTATTTGTTTTTAATGACGAAAAAAAATATCAGAGGAAAACATGATTTAATGTCAAAAAGTAAATATAAATAAGTGAATATTTTTCAAGGTCATACTCTTTAAAATTCCAAGATTGTTCATGTCTTTTTAAAAGAATATGACTTTTAAATGATTCTGAATGTGTTTCTTTGACATTATTTTCTATTACCAAAAATAAGTCAAGTACTTAGTCAAGTTAAAAGATTTTTTGAGGATCATATTTGTATCGTGTTGGATAAGAAATTTAGTTAAAGATAATTTTAATGCGCTTCTGTTTCCTCAATGAAGAAAAACAGATGCTTACCAACCTGATGTATAAGAACAAATGCATTCCATCTTGTCATTACTTTTCACTACAAAACTTAAATATAACTTCTGTGCATGCTGGATCAGTTATTGACGATGGCCTGTTGTCTTCTTTTCATGATGACACTGGTTCAATCCTGTCGCATGCAATAAATTAAAGAATCATTAAATAAAGTAGAAACAGCAGACAAATAATTCTATGTTTATATTTTGAAGAAATAAATTTTATGATATAGTAAATTCATACAACATTCTACATGCAATTTGAATGCAAAGTACAAATGCATATGTATATCATGCACATAAAATGGTACGTATTAGTAAATACCTACTGATATCTGAAACTTTGGGAGTTGTGTATGAAAGTTGTAAATTCTATGTAATTTGAAGACTGTTTATTGCCATTAGCTTTTATATAGTTTATAATAATCGTTATTATCCACATATAATACAGTTTTATGTACAAGGGGCCTAGTGTACACTATGATTAGATGTAGCGTGAACGACTTTATCAAAGAACGATATAAAAGAAATGAATGACGTTAATAATAAATAGCAGAACAGAGAATCGTAGTTGACTATCTACATTGAAAGTACAAAAGTAACGAAATATAATATCTTATATCTGTTATATACTTAAATTAATAGAACTCGTAGATACTGAGCAGCGATATGATTTACAGGAACCATACCTAGAAACACGCTAGTTCGACTAGTCAACAAACAGATTTATAAAGAAATAAAAGTAGCACTAAAACTTCTTTGCTATGCTTGCAATGTATTTTACAAAACATTACACCAAAATTGTTAAAAAGAAATTTGTAGATTTTGATTTTTCCTTTTTTTCCAACTGAAAAGTAAGAAATTAGCAGTTTCTAATACTCATTTTCCAAGAATGAAGTATCATTTAATTAGTTTTAAAATACTGGCATAAAAGAATTGCATAACACTTGTTCATGCTCTTTCCTCCATAACTTAAATGCTTGATTCAATGATCAACTTTTTAAAAATTTCAATAACAATCAACAACAACAGTATGAGTAATATTCTCAAACAATTGTCAAATGTAATGTTAAACATTCCAAAGAACACTAAAATTTTTTTGATCAATAAGTTGTAACGCGCATATCTTTTAAAACCTATAAAGGCTTTTGAAAAAGCATTCAATATGTTACGTAATACTTTTATACTAGAATCATTATCTGTATACTTATATATATATTTGCATATATGTACACAGTATATACATACATGTATATATATATATATACAGTATTGTATAATTTGTTTCCAAAAGGCTAGAATAATTTTTGACAAGTTGCTACTTGTTATGCATCTAAACGTAAAGTCAAAACAGCGATTAGAATAATGTGAGGCCTACATAGTTTCCTATCTGCGATAGAGTAATTTTTTATATGAGAAACTTAAGGTTCAATATCTTTTTCATAATTCTTTTTCTTTTATTCTCAACTAAATCTATCGAATAACATTGTATACATTCGTATCAACCAATTTACAGAACGCAAACCAACAACAACACGATCACAGAAAGCACATTGATTAAACACATGGAAATCGAAGGAGGTGTATGAAATAGAACTGTTGGCGAAATATTTACCAAATATAAAAATATATCGTACATTTGCACGTGTAAAATGGCTGATACATAATTTAATCGTGACGTACTGTCACGTGCAACTTAGGCTACCCTTAGTGAACAGAAGATTCTGATTAGGCTCTCCCTAGGTTCCCCCACCATTGATGAGAGGCTCTTCAAGCAAGAGAAGCCTATGTTGCACTTAAATGTACTTAATTTTTTTTTTAAATCCAGTCTTAACATTCGTAACTCATCATCGACGTTTTTTACCCTCTTTCAGACGCAAACCAACTCGGTTGCAAACCAACAATGAAACTGAAAAGGCAGAACACAATACTGTTTAATTCCCCTTAATAAGAGAACACTTTTAATTCTCGTCAAAGAAAACGTATTCTCTATTAAATATACGTATAGAAAATAAAGAAATCTGTGTTCAACGTCTACTTTAATTCTAAATAAATATTTAACAATGATAGTAAAGTACTTTGGAATTTTACAAAATATCACTTTCGTCGTTTGTTCGTCGTATTCCTTAACCCTTCAGTTAATAAATCTATAAAAATCTCGTTCACGTAAAACATACCTTCCCACCAATAAAAATTTTTACGTTCTTACATGATAATTAAAAAAAAAGGTATCGTCTGGAAATTGTAGCTATCATTGAATTATCGATACAACAGTCTGTTATATTCTATGCAGCAAGTGGCATGATACAAAATCAATGAAAAAAAAAAGGAATAGAAAATGCACTCGTGTAATGGTTCTTGAAAATAATAAAAAAAAAGCAAATACTTCTATGATCAATATTGGCGTAACTAGGATTTGAAGTAGGCTAGGACCTTCAGCTTTACTAATATTGTCAATGCCCTTCACCAGGGATGACCAAATGAGTTTTGGAAACTTGGGAATTTGAAAATGTCTAAATTTATATAATGTGATATATGAAGTACTCTACATCCCTTACGTTACATAATGAGAGCCAGTCCATGTTTTTGAGAGATATCAAGCCCATCTTAAATCGAAGTTACGCCAATGATCTCTAGTTGCCCGCAACACCATGAACCAGTTAAAAATGTTACAAACTGTTAGCAGCGGACTTGAAGAAAAGCAGGGAACCAAAAGCACGAGGGAATGTTTTTCATGATATTTGTACGAAGACAGACACAGTTTGATATAGCAACAAAGTACCGTGCAGTTGTTTCTCATACATGATACAACGTTAAACGCAGTTATGACATTAATGATTTAACAACGTTGTTTCCGACGTACGAAGATCTTCTATACAACTATATCTTTAATACAGAAACGTGTTAGATTGAATGGTCACGAGATATATTTAAGAAAAAAAGTTCGATTCAATTGTTAAAAACCATGCTCATAGTTTTTGTATCTTTCATCTTTTTTACACAGTTAGCCTTAAATTGAGATTAATTGAACGATGGTTACAACTGTCGTATCCATATGTAATTTTTTCGCGATGTCCGCAACGCTCGAACACTTTTTGTCGTCCTGTCGTTTAGGATTGTTCTATACGTAAACTGGTCTTATCTTCAGTCAAGGCACGAGTCTGATGATTCGGGCCTTGCCAAGTCTTTGTTTATATCAACGCTTTAACAATCTACTCGGGTATAATTAGTGAATCATTTACACTACGCTGAGTTAGAGTGCGAACCCTGACCCAATCACCACTTTTGTTAACCACTCTTGGGATGAACGCTTAAAACAGCAGCTTTCGAATGCATCATAAAAAACATATCGACTTGAGCGTGGTATGAATCAATTCGAAAAACAACAACGAACGAACACAAGCGTTATTTGAACCGGTTCAAAAGAGAACATTCAAAATGCTGCTGTGATAGAGCGTCGCGTACGAATGCTACCCACTACCGGTTTAATGGCCGCTGAGATAAATTACGATTAAATATAGTAAAAGAGAATGTGAGTAGTACACGGTACGTTAAAAGTACAGTACTTAACAAGTGATGCGTCGAATACATCGTTAGTTCATAATTTTTTTTTCGTTAATTATTCTTCCAGATTTCAGCAGTTGTTTCTGCCTGCGCTTATGCAGGTCAGACTAGATCACACATGCTGAAAAGACACCCATCACACGTCAACCAATGTCCCCGCCGTAGTCCTGACCATTTAGCAGATTACGGTTGTAAATGGCAGCCCTGTAACTGTACCTATTTATGGCTGGTCGATCAGGAACAGGCGGTGGCACCAGGGCCACGTCCGAATTCAACATAGCCCCACTTCCTTCGTCCACTTCACCGATACAGCTCTCCACGAGAGACGGTTCTACCTCGGTAAACGCCAATCTTGATCGCAGTAAATACGCGTATGTCTTGTACCTCTTCAGCTGAAACACGACAACATTGTCACGTATACTTTTGTCATTGAACAGTCGCATTTTGCGTAGCTATTTATTGAAATCTTAGAAAGCATTTGTACAATCACAGGACGGTCTGTTTTCTTATTTATTGCATGCACGATTATGACCATTTAACAGAATCCAGATCTATGGTTCTAGATTTACAAATACCTAAAAGCAGAGTACTCTATTTTCTGATCACCTTGTACATAAGAAGTGACCGATAGGAAAC